TGTTGTACCGTTCTCCTGTTGTTGTGTTTCTTGATCGTGGGTATCCATGCTTCAGGAATTTCAATTCCACTATCCCTGCTGATGTTGTTAGGGTGAAGTCTTATGTGAATAGCTTCCTTGACCCTACGTGTGTACCAGTGAGGATCTCGATCAATAAACTTGACCTCATTCCAGATAGGATAGTGGCCGGTCTCGTGGGTGTGTTCAGAAACGGCAGAGGTCTGGGTACGGGTGAGTTGTATATCCCTGTTGTGTTCTTTGATCCTCTCCCGTATAGATCTCCCTGTTTCCCCGATGTAGACTTTGCCGCACTCACAGAGAATCCTGTAGACAACACCATCTTGTTTAGCTGGGTTGATGGTATCCTTTGGTCGCACTAAGTGTGACCGAAGTGTCGTGTCAGACTTAAAGACGGTGCAAATGCCTTGTTGTTCTAGGCAGCGGCGTAGAGACTCCAAAACTCCTTGGACATAAGGTAAAACGGCGGTGGATTTAAATTCCGTGACAGGCTCTCTTCTTGGGGTTGTTCATGCCTTTGTGGTCTTCTGTACAAAAGAGGAGGGATATCTGTTAGAAACAAGTACAGATGACAGAAGTTTCTTCTCTCCAGCGATTACTGATGGTTTGGTCACGAGACGTTTAGCCCGGTCGTACAGACACTTCACAATCCCGTGTTTTACTGACTGAGGGTGGTGTGAATCATATGCTAGGTACTGTTCAGTATGTGTTGGTTTCCTGTAGACACTGGTGGTAAGGCGGCCATCAGGTTCTCTGTAAACTGACGTGTCAAGAAAGGCGATCTTGCTGTTGTTCTCGATCTCCATGGTGAAACGGATTGATGGTCGTTGACTGTTCAGGTGCTGCAGGAAGACATCAACTCTATCCCGATCCAGGATGGTGAAAGTATCATCTACGTAGCATTTCCAGATCTTAGGCTTGCAAGGTGCGGACTCTCTTCTTGTTCTTCAAACATCTCCATGTAGCGATTAGCAATAACCGCGGATACAGGGCTCCCCATGGCTGCGTTGTCTCGTTGTTCGTAAATCGATCCGTTGTACTGGGAGTAGATAGATCTTAATACAAAATCCAAGAGGTCCGCGATTTGAACTGGTGTAAGAAGACTAGCAGTAAGCAGTCAAAACATCGCGATCTACATCTCAAGTGACTACATTGCGAGACAAACGATAATACACTTTATTAAGGAATCACTTTGCGCATCGATGCCAAGCTTCATCACGAGGAAGGAGGAACAGAGTCTCGACTGTTCGTGAAACTGCTGATCCGAAACAAGATCCATACTACATCGGTTCAGTTGCTGAGAACAAACCCCAGGCTTGAATGGCTGTCATCAAACTGCAAATCTCTTCGCCTACACCTGAGACAGAAGTTCAGTTTCAAATTGATACCGGATCTCAGTGTGACATACTCTCCACCTGGATATACAAACAGGTTACAGGAGACACTCAGCTTCAGCATCTCAAACCTTGCCAAAAGGAGATTGTTTCGTACACAGGAGAACATCGCAAAATCACCGGCAAAGTCAACCTTCCCATTTGGTCTGGAAGACATCAAAAGTCACTTGATTTTAACATCATTGATGGCGATTACCAGCCAATTTTGTCATTAAACACAAGCGTTGGCCTTGGCTTTGTAAGTCTGCACAACTGCGATGTCCTGGCAATCCACGTCGACTCCCCCTCCACCACCCTGCAAGACGAATTCACAGATGTATTTGAGGGATTAGGTGCCCTTCCAGGAAAGTACCAAATCGTTATTGATGAAAACATTCCACCATGTGTTCATGCCCCGAGACGAGTGCCAGTGGCCCTGTGACAGCGCATCAAAGAAAAGCTTGACGAGCTGGTTGAACATAAAGTGCTCGTGCCAGTCACGGAACCAACTCAGTGGGTATCCAGTATGCTGGCTATAGTGAAACCGAACAAGGTACGGATTTGTATTGACCCAAAAGACCTCAACCGCGCAATACGTCAAGAACATTACCAGCTGCCCACCATCGATGAAGTCGCATCCCGATTAGCAGGCGCCAAGAAATTTACGCTCTGTGATGCCAAGGACGGTTTCCACCAAATCCTTCTGGACAACACGCCTAGCTATTTGACAACGTTCAACTCGCCTTTCGGACGTTACCGTTGGGCACGTATGCCCTTCAGGATATCCAGTGCTCCTGAAGTCTGGCAGCGACGAATGCATGAGTTCATTGAAGACCTCGAGGGTGTTGAAGTCATCGCAGACAATTTTCTCATCGCTGGCTTTGGTGCAACCGATACAGAGGTTAATGCCAGCCTCAAAAAGAATGAATGTGCATTCCTTCAAAAGTGCCATGAGCGAAACCTCAAACTTAACAAAACAAAGTTCAAGCGAGCCCAAACTGAAGTGCAATTCATGGGCCATCTCCTGACCCCGGAGGGCCTGAAGGCTGACCCATCCAAAGTGGAAGCCATCTTAGAAATGCCTCCACTGAGTGACGTAAAAGGGCTCAAGAGATTCCTTGGCATGGTCAATTATTTGGCCAAATTCCTGCCCCTATTGTCTGACATGACGGAACCATTGAGAAGACTAGATGACAAGGAAGTTGAATGGTGCTGGCTTGAGCAACACCAGAAAGCATTTACCACCAT